CTTGGGAAAGGAACTTCTTTTCCTAGCCACAAGCTTCCCCTGCACCAGCCCCAATGTACCAACCAATGTGGACAGTCCAAAACAAAAAAAACCTTCCCCAAATGATGTTCAGTCAGAATGTTTACATTTATCTCAGTCTTAATTAAACCAATAGATTCTGAATAGAACAGAGTCTATCTACTTATGAGCCTGAATTTTAAACAGAAATATGAAAAGATGTTTAACAGAGAGAAGACAGATAAAGAAACATACAAATCCTCATACAAATCCTCAGACCTCACAACGTCTAAGGATGCTTGCCATAGATGCAGGCGAAATGTCAGGAGAATGCTTCTAGAACATGGCCATATAGCCCGAAAAACCTACAACAACCCAGTGATTCCGGCCGTGAAAGCCTTCGACAATACATTAAACATACAATAGTTTTCAATTCATGTGCTTTTAAATGGATTTATGTCTCTATCTATTCTATTGTGAGTGTTGTAACATGCCTGGAACCTTTGGTGGGTGAGAATTAAAAATATTAATATTGTTGGTATTTTTTTGGTCATGTCAGGAGCAACTTGAGAAACTGCAAGTCGCTTCTGGTGTGAGAGAATTGGTCATCTGCAAGGACGTTGCCCAGGGGACGCCCGCGCTTGGGGAGCTGGAGCTGACAGAGGAAGCTCATCTGCCTCTCCCCGGATTTGAACCTGCGACCTGTAGGTCCTGCTGGCACAGGGGTTTAACCCACTGCGCCACTGGGGGCTCCATTATTGGTATTGATATTCTAATTATTCTATAGATACTGTTCATTTGCAATATCTGTTTGGAATATCTGTTCATCTTTCTATCTAAAATGTAGACTTATTATTATTATTATTATTATTATTATTATCATCATCATCATCATCCTGTTTTTTCTCTCCACAAGGAGACTCAAAAATTAAAAGAATTGCAATACAATTTAAAATATACAAATATTAAAACAGTATTAAACATGGGTTGTTGTGAGTTTTCACAACAACCCATGCTGTATGGCTGAGTTCCAGAAGCATTCTCTCCTGACGTTTCACTTGCATCTATGGCAGGCATCCATACAGGCAGGAACATGGCCGTACAGCTGACAGAGGGAGCTCCTCCACGCTCTCCCTGGATTTGAACCTCTGATATGTCAGTCAGCAGTCCTGCTGGCACAGGGGTTTAACCGATTGTGCCATTAGGGTCTCCTTTTTTACTTTTTTTTTTACTTAAGTGATATGTGTCTTTACTGTTCTAATGTAGCACAAATCCTATGTAAAATCATATTGCATATTTTTGATATTGCAATCTGAAATATATACAAAAAGTCTGGTTCATGTGGTATGCCTACACATGGGTGCCGGCACACGAAAGTGCTGTGGCACACAGCTGGGAAAGCTCTGGATTAGAAATAATAATCTTCTATTGGCAAAGCCTTTGGCACTACGGTCTGAAGTAGAGTCCCACATGTGGCAGGCACAGCAGGGCATTACAGAGAAGCATGCAAGTGTGCATTTCCCCTGCTACTGTTCTATTCTTTCTTTCTTTCCTTTGTAATTCTGCTTTTCAAACCCAGTCCTTTTGAAAAGGAGAAAAGGACATCTCTTGGCATGTGTCCCACCACAATCTTTGAGGGATGGCTTTGCTCTTCTTCACACCTCTGCAGGGGATTTTAGGGGGTGGAGAAGAAATTGGGAGGGATGAAAAGGAGTGGGGATTTTTTTGGAGAGGGGGAGATAGGGGGCTGGCCTTGGTCACGTGTGGCCCACCCTCCAGGACAGCAGTTGAAGAGAGCTCAGTCCTGCAAGGAAGAGGCCAGGACATTCAGAGGAGCAAAGGATGGTGACCACAGACAGCGCTGAACCCGGAGGGGTGAGAAAGGTAGCTGGGGACCCCCCAAAAGGAAACAGGGGGTGCTGTCCTGGGGACACTTTAGACTGGGAGATTGGACTTTTTCTAGAACTGGCAATGCATAAGATGTAAGGTAGAAATATCCCTTGAATCATGTTGGTTTCTCCAACTTGAGTGTTATTGGGTTGTTGTAGGTTTTTTCGGGCTATATGGCCATGCTCTAGAGGCATTCTCTCCTGATGTTTCGCCTGCATCTATGGCAAGCATCCTCAGAGGTAATGAGGTCATTACCTCTGAGGATGCTTGCCATAGATGCAGGCGAAACGTCAGGAGAGAATGCCTCTAGAACATGGCCATATAGCCCGAAAAAACCTACAACTACCCAGTGATTCCAGCCATGAAAGTTTTCAACAATACATTGAGTGTTATTGTTGTTGTGTGACTTCTTGAAGAGGGGAGTATTTTATTCAGAAGTATATATTTGTTTTGCCTCTTAGGCTATGATAGTGTGACTTGCCCAGGGCTTCCCAATGGCTTTCCATGGCCAAAGTGGTGACAAACTGTATTAATTCTATGGCGTAGATCAGGCATGGCCAAATTTGATGCCTCCAGGTGTTTTGGACTTCAACTCACACAATTCCTAACAGCCACTAGACTGTTAGGAATTGTTGGAGTTGGAATCCAAAACACCTGGGGGTCCAAGTTTGCCCATACCTGGTGTATATGCAACCTGGGGTAACATTTGGCAACCTGGGGTAACATTAATTGTGGACACACATCCAACCATTAGTTCAATGGGTCTACTCCAGGCATGGGCAAACTCCCCCCCCCCCCCCCCGGGTGTTTTGGACTTCAACTTGGCCATCCTAATTTTTCAACTGCTTTTCAACTAACACAGCATGGGCAAAATTTGGTCCTCCTTCCAGATGTTTTGGACTTCAACTCCCACAATTCCTAAGATCCTATTGGCTGTTACAACCTGGTGGAGTAGTTAGGCTGTTAGGAATTATGGGAGTTGGAGTCCAAAACACCTGGGGGCACAAGTTTGCCCATTCCTGGTGTAGATGCACCCTAGGCTATTTTGGAGACGGATGATGAAATCGACCTTGAATCCTGTTGATGTGAATGCTGTAGGTTTTTTTGTGTCCAGTGGACATATTGCAAGATTTTCTGGCAAGACTTTGAATATGTTTTGTCAGAAAACCTTGCCAAAAGTATTCAGAGAGATTTGCCATTTCCCTCCTCTGAGGTTGAGAGAGTGTGACATGCCTAAGGCCACCCAATGGGTTCCCATGGCAAAGCAGGGGTTGGATGCATCATCTCCAGAATCCTAATCCAATGCCCAGACTGCTCCCATCAGGCTGGCTCTCCAAACAAGAGTAGAGCCAATGAATCAATGTGTTGGCTTTTCACTTGATTGTTGTTGGTTCAGTGCTGAAACTCTTCAGTGACTTAGCAACCTAGGGTAACATTAAGTCTGGACCCATATCCAACTATTTCTTCAGTGGGTCTACCCCAGGCATGGGCAAACTTTGGCCCTCCAGGTGTTGTGGACTTCAATTGGCCATCCTATTTTTACAACTGTTTTTTAACTATCACAGCATGGGCAAACTTTGGTCCTCCCTCCAGAAGTTTTGGACTTCCAACTCCCACAATTCCTAACAGCCTACTGGTTGTTACAGCTTGCTGGAGTAGTTTGGGCACTGGACTAGGATTCTGGAGATGATGCATCCGATCCCTGCTTTGCCATAGGAACCCATTGGGCATGTCACATCCTCTTAGCCTCAGAGGAGGGCAATGGCAAATCCCCCTGAAGGCTTTTTGCAAGGTTTTGTGGTAAAACATATTCAAATTATTGCTAGAAAATCTTGTAAAAAGTCTGCAGGACACACAATAACAATAACATTCACACCAACAGGATTCAAGGTATTTTTTTCATCCGTCTCCAAAATGGCCTGCACTAGGGTACATCTGCAAAAGGTATGGACAAACTTGGGCCCTCCAGGTGTTTTGGACTCCAACTCCCAGTAGGCTGTTAGGCTGGAGGAAGGACCAAAGTTTGCCCATGGCTGGTCTACTCTAAGCTGGGACTAACCAAGGGGATTCCAAACCACATGTTCCCTATCCAAGGAACTAGTGGCCTGAGTGATTTGGGTCTCATCTGCACTGCCTTATAATGCAGTTCAATGCAGTTTACTTATGTATTTATTTACTCTATTTGTATCCTGCCTTTCTCTACCCTGAAAGGGACTCAAGGCAGCTTTACATATGGCAGTTAAACTACATTATATGAGTTTACAATGGCCATATAAAGAAGTTTCAAACTGTATTATATGACAGTATAGATGGGCCTGATTAACCTTCTAGTGGAGGGAAACAATCCTTTTAAAGAGATGCATAGTAAAGCCAGGGTGGAAGGAGTATAGGAGGGACTATGTTGAGTCGATATGGGAAAAAGCGAGGCAAAGAGATTGGCACCATCTTCAACTTCCAGTGATATCCTTTACTTTTTCCCTCTTTTCAAACAAGTGTTTTATTTTGGACGAATTCCTAGGCTGCAGGATTTTCAGGAGCTGTAAACCTGCATAATGATCGATCTCTTCCATCTTCACTGTGCATTGACATTGTAGAATGGATACAGTTTGACCCCACTTTAAATGCCAGGTCTCAATGCTAGAGAAATCCTGGGAGTTGTAGTTTTACAGTGTCTTCCACTTTCTCTGCCATTGCACTATTGTACTGGTGCCTACCAAAACTCATGGAGAACTCCCTCCTGTGCAATTTCAGTTGTTTTAGTGATGGAAATTGAATTATTCTGAACTGCACTATATACATATACATATACATGAGCCCCCTGGTGGTGCAGCGGGTTAAACTGCCAAGCTGCTGAACTTGCTGACCAAAAGGTTGGTGGTTCAAATCTGGGGAGTAGGGTGAGCTCCCACTGTTAGCCCCAGCTTCTGCCAACTTAGCAGTTCGAAAAGAGGCAAATGTGAGTAGATCAGTAGGTACTGCTTCAGCTGGAAGGTAATGGTGCTCCATGTAGTCATGCTGGCCACATGACCATGGAGGTGTCTACGGACAATGCTGGCTCTTTGGCTTAGAAATAGAGATGAGCGCCATCCCCCAGTCAGAAACAACTAGACTTAATGTCAGGGGAAAATCTTTACCTATATATATATGGCCCCATCTACACTGTCATATAACTACCTATATATGGCCCCATCTACACTGACATATAATGCTGCTTGGAACTGCATTATATGATCAATGTAGAGTCATGTAATGCAATTTAGCTATGTGGAACTGCATTATATGAGTGTGGAACTGTATTATATGTTCAGTATAGACCAGGCATGGGCCAACTTGGGCCTTCAAGGTGTTTTGGACTTCAACTCCCACTATTCCTAACAGCCTCAGGCCCCTTGCTTTCCCCCATCAGCTGCTTAACCGATTTTGTATTTTGCACAGTCAACAAGGGAAGCCCCATGCATGCCCTATGACAGCAGTCTAGCTTCATTGCTTAAGTGGCTGAGGGGGAAAAGGAAAAGCCTGAGGCTGTTAGGAATGGTGGGAGTTGAAGTCCAAAACAAATGGAGGGCCCAAGTTTGCCCTTTCCTTGTTTAGACCCATATAATGAAGTTCAATGCAACCTGCATTATAGGGTAGTGCAGATGGGGGCCTATGCTTACACACATGGGTCCGAGTTGCTGCCCACCCCCATCCAGGGGTCACCCCACATGTGTTTGTCTATCCAGATGCTGAAGCCCTTGGTGGAAAAGCGTCGGAGGGATCGGATCAACCGGAGCCTGGAAGAACTGCGCCTGCTGCTTCTCCAAAGGACCCACTGCCAGGTCAGTAAATGGGGCCTCCTATCATTTGGGCCCCCAACCTTTACATGTCCCACATAGGACATCGCAATCCCCCCCCCCCCAAATTCTCCCATCCTAGGATGCCTTAGAGTTCATTGAACCTCCTTTGAATGCCTTGAAGTGTGTTGTGCATTAATTTCTTTACCTGCCAGCAGGTGGAGCTATTGCTCTGTTCCTGACAAAGGTTAAAGGCATGGCAAGCCCAGGTGTGGTGCCTTTAAAAAGGCACACAGGTGGCCTTGGATACTTGAGCAGGTATTCTTTATGGTTATTCCTGTCTTGTCCAGCTTTGGGCCGGGACTCCCCAATAAGAATGAGTTAGTAGTACTGTACAGCCTTGAGAGGTTTATCATAGCACTGGGAGGAGAGAAAATATTAAACACAGGTTGTGGGAATGGAGCGGAATTAGCAAGCTTGAAAAGCACTGAGTTGCCTTGCAGCTGCAAAGTCAATCAGTGAGGGTATCTGCATGGAGGTGGCCTGGCTGTTGTTGCCTGGAGACCTCCAGAAATACTCCGGAAATATTTACTTCAACTCCAAACATTCCTCACTATGGGTATTGCTCACTAGGGCAGATGGGAGTTGCAGTCAGACACTATCTGGAGGGCTATACGGTTCTCCCTAAAGGCAAAAGATTGGTCTCCTAAGAAGAAAACATTAAAAAAATAGTTTATACTATGGCCAACCTGTGTGCAAGGTTGTGACTTGCATAGAGGTCTTCCCCAATAAGAGCACGAAGGAGAAACTTTCAGCAGTAGATAAAACTAGCGCTTTGGAAATTGACTGCTTTGGGACTACAATTCCCAGAATCCCCAAGTAAGCATGCTGGCTGATGAACGTAGGAAAGTTGTTACATCTCTCCCAGAAATGTCAATTCAAAGCCTTATTCCAGCTGAGCCTTAGACTACAGTTCCCACAACCCCCTTCCTCGTGAGCATGGATAATGGGAGTTGTAGTCCCAAAGTAATCCTCTTGATAGAAAAGACAGGGAGGATATAATGTGAAAGTTCCTTCTTGTGGACTCAAAAACCCATGTAACAAAATTTGAAAAAAAATCTGTTCCTGGTTTGAAAGTGTTATTTCCTGTTTCATTGTGTGATACTTACTATGAAAGTAGTTGTTATACTACAGAAACTTTGTTTTTGTGGCAGCCATAAACAATGTTGCATTGGTTGAAACTCTGAGATACTTATTGAAAAACTATAGCAAAAAGTGTTGCAGGATGTCCCACAAAAACAAAGTAATTGCAGTTTAATAAACATTTTTCATGTTTTTATGATAGAACCAATTAGGAAATGGCGCTAATAACCCAGGAACAAAATTGTGTTACATTTTTGTGTTACATACAACCCTGCGGCCAACATGAAATAACCTGGGCATGGACAAACTTTGGCCCTCCAGGTGGTTTGGACTACAACTCCAGCAATTCCCAACGCCTGCAAACTTTGCCCCCCCCAGGTGTTTTGGACTACAACTCCCACAATTCCCAATGCCTGCAAACTTTGCCCCCCCAGGTGTTTTGGATTACAACTCCCACAATTCCCAATGCCTGCAAACTTTGCCCCCCAGGTGTTTTGGACTACAACTTGCACAATTCCCAGCACCTGCAAACTTCGGCCCTCCAGGTGTTTTGGACTACAACTCCCACAATTCCCAACTTCTGCAAACTTTGCCCCCCAGGTGTTTTGGACTACAACTCCCACAAGTCCCAACACCTGCAAACTTCGGCCCTCCAGGTGTTTTGAACTACAACTCCCCCAATTCCTAGCACCTGCAAACTTTGGTGCGCCAGGTGTTTTGGACTACAATTCCCACAATTCCCAACACCTGCAAACTTCAGCCCTCCAGGTGTTTTGGATTACAACTCCCACAATTCCCAATGCCTCCAAACTTTGCCCCCAGGTGTTTTGGACTACAACTCCCAGAAGTCCCAATGCCTGCAAACTTCAGCCCTCCAGGTGTTTTGGAGTACAGCTCCAAGATACCTACTGGCTGTTAGGAATTGTGGGAGTTGTATTCCAAAACACCTGGAGGGCTGAAGTTTGCCCATGCCTGGAATAGCCACTCTGGGGATGTGTTAGCCTGGCTAATGGTAGCCATAGTCCCAAAGTGGTCCTGTTTCTCACTTGGCACAGATCAGACAGGATGACTAACTTTGGAGAAATTCCTTTTCATGGACTAGAAATCTCAGTATCCTTCAGCCAGCATAGGGCAGACGGCTTGGCTGTCCATGGGGATGTGTTAGCTGGGGGATTCTGGGAGGTGCAACCCTACAGCTGAACCCAATGCTTGCCTTCCTTCCTTCCTTGGCCAGGGCTCCCCGGCTTGGCCGGCCCACCTCCTGCCCCTTCCCCAGTGACGCGTTTCGCTTCAGCCACCTTCTTGGGCCCTCTTTTTCCAACAGACTCTGAAGAAACCCAAAGTGGAGAAAGCTGAGATCTTGGAGATTGCCGTGGGCTACCTGCGAGAGATGGCCTCTGCCAAGTCCCAGGGTACAAGCGACCTGCATGGCGGGGGAGAGGGGGCAGGTGTGGGCAGGTGTGGACCGGGACCCGGGCTGGGACGGCCACCGCTGGCCCAGGGGCAGCCCTGCCAACAAGGTAAACCAAAGTGGGTTGTGCGGGAGGGAGGGACTACTGCACCCAGAATCCACTGGAAGTAGCATGCTCAATGGGAGGAGGTATCATTTGGGAGAACGTCCATGGGACAGACATGTTTTTTTGGTGGGAATGAAGGACTCCAACTTCTGGGATCCACAGGTACTGTAGTTATCTCAGAGGGACACGTGAAAGTGGACAAAACACAACATTGGGAAGGAGAACACTTATGTAAGCATTTTGAGTTCCTCCAGCTTAATTCTATGGTGAACTTCTGGTGGAAGTTGGTTACAAGGATTCTCTAGGGATATTGGAAGTCTTCCAGCACTATTATATGGACATCTTTTTTTGCTGGAAGTTGGCTATAGAAATATCCTGCAGGATCTCATGAGGGCCTCCAATGCAGCTCTATGGTTAACTTGTAGTCCAATTCATACACTGTAGAAGGCTATAAGCTCTTGGATGTTGCAGGTCTTCCAGGTCTACAGTTCCCACAATCTCACAGCATTGAACCATGGATGTTCAAGGGGTGTTGAACTGTGTCAATTCAACAGTGTAGAGGCAAGCCTACAACCGACCACATGGGAAACCGCATTGAGTCGCCTGTTTGGGCTGAAAAATGCCGTATAGAAATAAAGCAAATAAATAATAAAATGGGTTGCTCCATCACCTGGGGCTGTCCCATGGGCATTGTAATCCAACCCTTCTAGAGACCAGAGCCAGCCATATACATTTCTCTACCACCAAGGCATGTCCCATGTACATTGTAGTCTGACCCATCTAGAGACCAAAGCCAGCCATCTACATTGATCAACCACCAAGGTGTGTCCCATGGGCATTGTCTAACTCATCTAGAGACTAGAGCCAACCATTCCACCAGCAGGAGTGCCCTGTGGACATTGTAGTCCAACCCATCTAGAGACAGAACCAGTTTGTTCCACCACGAGGAGGTGTTCCATGGGCACTGTAGTCCAACCCATCTAGAGACCAAAGCCAGCCATCTACATTGATCCACCACCAAGGTGTGGTGGATCAATGGGCATTGTAGTCCAACCCATCTAGATATCAGAGCCAACCGTCTACATTATTCCACCAGCAGGTGGTATCCCATGGGCACTGTAGTCCAACCCATCTAGAAACCAGAGCCAACCATCTACATTTCTCTACCACCAGGGGGTGTCCCATTGGCATTGTAGTCCAACCTATCTAGATACCAGAGCCAACCACCTAGATTGCTTCTCCCCCAAGAGGTGCCCATGGGTATTGTAGTCCAAACATTGGTCCACCACATGGGGTGTCCATTGGCATTGTAGTCCAAATCATCTAGACACAACCAATTTGTTCTACCACCAGGAGGTATCCCATGTGTATTATAGTCCAACCCATCTAGAGACCAGAGCCAACCGTCTTGATTGTTCTCCAGTCCATGGTGGTGGATTGACCAGCCTTCTTCCCCGGCTTTCTCTTAATTCCACTCTGGCAGGAGCTGACCTCTCTGAAGACCGGACCCTACAGACCTGCTTCCGGGTGGGATTCCAGGAGTGCCTCCTGGGCTTGGCGGCCTTCCTTCAGCAAGCCCACCCCTCGGTCCAGAGCCACCTCCTGGACACCTTGCATCTCTACTTGGCCTCCAAACCTGAAGCCCAGCCGCAAGACTGGAACTACTACTACGCCTTCTCCCCAAGTCCTTCCTCCTCCTCTTCCTCCTCCTCCTCCTCGGGGTCTCCGCCGAGGACTCCAGAAGCCTTCTCTTCGCCCCAGAAGATCTGGAATGAACCCGAACCATTGCGCCCGAATCCAGACCCTCCTTGCTGCAGTGCAGGACAACACGGGAGTCGGCAAAGGGAGGCCGAAGGAAATACCAACGCAACCAAAAGGATTCCCCCGCCGCCACCCGCTTTCTGGCGTCCTTGGCCCTAAGTTGTCATCTACTTCTGTTCAAGCTCCTCTTTGTTTTGTACATAAGTTAAAGTAATAATAAATATATATATCTTATTTTGGGTTACATAGCAGGGTGATTTGGTGATGCATATATACATATATATATATACCATAATGGTAATGCACCCACCCCCTTCTAAGGGCACATCTACAAAGTCAGATCAATGCAGTTTTACATCACTTTGAACTGCCATGGCTCAAAGCCACAGATCTCTGAAAGTTGTAGTTTTACAAGGCTGCCAAACTGTACATCCCAGGATTCCAAAGCATTGAGCATGGCAGTTCATGTGGTGCTAAACTGAATTAAATCTATAATGTAGATGCACTCAATTTAAAAATATATAGGTGATTCCTTAGTACTTCATAATTTAGGCTGCAATGCTAGTGATTTTAGTAGCACCAATGCTTAAGTGTTGCTTTGCTTCCCCCTCTTCTATATTTAAAGAAATGAAAGATCAGTGTGACAGTCCCCACAGCTCCAAAACAATATAAATCTGCATCTCAGGTTGCATCTACACCAGGTATGGGCAAACCCGGGGCTGAATGCAGCTCCCTTGGACTCTTTTATTGGGCCCTCCTCTCTCTCATCATCCTATCCTAACTTCTTTCCCTTCCACCCTTTTGTCCTGGCTTCCTTCTCTCTTTCCTTCCTCCTTACCTCCCTCTTTCTCCCTCCCTCCATTCCCTTCCACCCTTTCATCCTTTCGTCTCTTTCCTTTCTCCTTCCTTCTCTCCCTTTCTCCTTCCTTCCTTCCACCCTTCCTTCTCTCCCTCCTTCCTTTCCATGTCTTTCCTTCTTTCTCTTTCCTTTATCCTTCCCTTCCTTTCATCCATCCTTCTCTTCCTTCTCTTTTTCCTTCCTTCCTTCCTCCTACCTTGTCTTTCTTTTCCTCTCTTTCCTCCCTCCTTCTGTCTCTCCCTCTTTCTCCTTCCATCCTTGCCTTCCTCCCTTTCCTCCTTCCTTCCTTCTTTTTCCTTCCTCCTTTCCTTCCTTCCCTCTTTCCTCCTTCCTTCTCCCTCTCCCGCTTTCTCCTTCCTTCCTCCTTCCCTTCCTTCCTTCCCTTGTCTTTTCTTCCTCCTTCCCTCTCTTTCTCCTTCCTTCTCTTTTTTCCTTCCTTCCTTCCTTTTCCTCCTTCCTTTCCCCTCTCCCACTTTCTCCTTCCTTCCTCCTTCCCTTCCTTCCTTCCTCCCCTTTTTTCTTCCTCCTTCCTTCTATTTCTCCTTTCTTCCTTCTCTATTTTTCTTCCTCCCTCCCTCCCTTCCACTCTTTCATCCTTCCTTTCCTTGCCCTTCTTTCTTTCCTTCCCTCTCCCCCTTTATCTCCTTCCATCCTTCACTTCCTCCCCTTCATCCTTCCTTCTTTCACTCTTTCCTTCCTTCTGTCACCAGGAAGCCAGTCCTCTAAGCAGGGAGTGCTAGCTTGTGGCCCCCAAGTTAGAAAGCGTTCCCATGCCTGATCTACACTATCTAATGAATGCAGTTCAACCCGACTTGAATGCTATGGCTTCATGGGAGTTGTAGTTTGACAAACTACATCTCCCAGATTCCATAACTTGAACCATGGCAGTTAAGTGAGGCCAAACTGCATTCATTTTATAGTACGGGTGCACTGTCATCTACACGAAAGGGCATTGCAGGTAAGTACAGGATCACTTGGAAGTTGCATTGTTTCCATGAGATGCATAGTATGGAGAAATCCAGAATTTGCAAGGTCTCATGCCTTATGATGAGAAATGCACAACATGTTCAATTTTTCCCACCAAATTTCTAAGGAAAGGCATTGGTAACCTGTAGGAAAATAAAGAATAATGATCTTAAATTTCCAATATCCTACTTTAATCGTAATGTATTATTTTTTTGGCTTGTATATAAGAGAAGATATCCCTTTGGTGATTTTTTTTGACCTTAGGAATATATTTCTATTAAGATACCAAATACAATATACAAGGATTTTATGCATTAGGAGACATATAGTTGCTTGTAGTATTTAAATGGTTTGCTTTAGGATGGATGAGTGAAAAATGGTCCACTTTTAACTTCTATATTGGCGTATTTGCAAATATATACAAATAAAGAGTCAAGTCTTTTGTCTTTTACACAGTTTCAATTACTCAGCTTCTTCTAACCAGACTTTCAGATATTATTATTATTATTATTATTATTATTAAACTTTAATTACAGCTTGTATTTGGAACTATTTCTTTTTCTTTATTTTGCTTGGTGTTGCCGAGTACTAACTTCCTTTCAACTCTACAGGATCCCGGATGTTTTAATCCCATTGAAGCCAATGGTGCACCCGTCATATTTTCAGGGTCCTATTGCTTACAATGGGACTAAAGAATGATTAGATTTGCGTGCATAATTTAATAAAAATTACATTTCTCCATTGAACACCTGTGTAAGAACTCATTCTTTACAACCAGTATTGTGGCCTCCATGCATTGTCCATTTAATGTTGTTTTCCTTTACAGATTCATCTCTTTTGAAAGAGCAGAGGTGCATCTACATTGTTGAATTGATGCAGTTGGAACTGCCTTGGCTCAAGGCAATGGAATCATGGGAGTTGTAGTTTTACAAGGTCTTCAGCCTTCTCTGCCAAAAAGTGCTGATGATAATAATGATGATACGTTGTATGGTCGAAGGCTTTCATGGCCGGAATCACTGGGTTGTTGTAGGTTTTCCGGGCTATATGGCCATGTTCTAGAGGCATTTTCTCCTGACGTTTCACCTGCATCTATGGCAAGCATCCTCAGAGGTAGTGAGGTCTGTTGGAAGTAGGAAAATGGGTTTATATATCTGTGGAAAGACCAGGGTGGGACAAAGGACTTTTGTCTGCTGGAGCTAGGTGTGAATGTTTCAACTGACCACCTTGATTAGCAATGATACATTATTGTTGTTGTTGTTGTTGTTATTATTAGATGCATAACAAAATTAGTACACAGCAAATAAGATGACTATGCTGGCTTTTGTATTTGATCACATGTCGGCCTCTTCCCAAGTGTCTAGGACTGTGTGATGTATCAGCAAATAATGCGTGCAGATCTGAGTAGGGTGGCCTTTTGCAGCTGGCAGATGGTGATTTTGTTGGCACAGATTGTTTTTAAGTGCAGGCCAAGGTCTTTAGGCACTGCACCCTGTGTGCCAATCACCACTGGGACCCCCCCTTGACTGGTTTGTGCCAGAGTCTTTGCAATTCGATCTTTAAATCCTCATATCATATCATGTCAGCTTTTCCAGTTGTTTCTCTTCAATCCTGCTGTTGCCTGGGATTGCAAAATCAATGATCCATACTTTGTTTTTTAACGCAATCATGAGGTCAGGAGTATTATGCTCCAAATCTCTGTCCGTATGAATTCGGAAGTCCCAGAGTAGTTTGTAATTATTATTATTATTTAATCATAAGAGTATTATGTATGATTATAATCATAATTATAATATAATTATGATATATTATAATTATTATCATAATTATAGTATAATTATATTATAATTATGATATATTATTATTATAAAAGGTAAAGGTTTCCCCTTGACATTAAGTGTAGTTGTGTCTGACTCGGGGGGGGTGCTCATCTCCATTCTAAGCTGAAGAGTTGGAGTTGTCCATAGACACCTCCAAGATCATGTGGCCAGCATGACTGCATGGAGTGACGTTACCTTCCCGCCGGAGCAGTGCGTACTGATCTACTCACATTTCAAACTGCTAGGTTGGCAGGAGCCGGGGCTAACAGCGGTAGCTCAGCCCACTCCCCGGATTCAAAATGTTTGGTCAGCAAGTTCAGCAGCTTAGTGGTTTAACCCGCTGCACCAACAGGGGCTTATATGATTATATAATAATTATAATATTATTAATAATAATAATAAATATTTATTATGATGATTCATCAAACTACAACCCCAGGATTCCATAGTTTTGAGCCATGACAGTTAAAGTGGTGTCAAACTGCACTAATTCAGCAATGTAGATGCAATCCCAAAACACAGAGTCCTTTGCAATTGCCCAGGTTACTTTAAAAGAAGCCTCAAGAGCGGCTGCATTAACATCACACCAAAAAAAGTACTAACAAAGACATATTCACTCTACTTTTCTGCCCTACTTCTTCCTTCTATCTTCCCTTTCCATCACACACTGAAACTAAAACACTCCAAAAGTCTAAATATACACTACTGTTTTTGACTTTGGTTTGCTCGGCATTGTCCAATCCTGGTTGCAAACCCCTGGGTGCATCTACATTGTAGAATGAATGCAACTTGATACCACCTTAACTGCTGTGGCACAAGGCGATGGAAACCTGGGAGTTATAGTTTGACCAGGTCTTGAGCCTTCTCTGCTCAATAAGGCTAGTGCCTCATCTGATGACGATTCCCATGACTCCACAGCATTGAGCCGTGGCAAATAAAGTGGTGCCAAATTGCATTCATTTTGCTGTAGAGATTGCAAGCGCCAACTTGGGCCCTGCAGGTGTTTTGGACTCCAACTCCCACCATTCCTAACAGCCTCAGGCCCTTTCCTTTCCCCCCTTAGCCGCTTAAGCGCTGAGGGGGGAAAGGAAGGGGCCTGAGGCTGTTAGGAATGGTGGGAGTTGGAGTCCAAAACACCTGAAGGCCCAAGTTGGCCCATGCCTGGTGTAGATGCACTCTTAGCAAGGGAATAATTTGTAGTTTGAGCATCCCTTATCCAGAAGTCCCAACATTGTCAGTCTTTCCTTTCTGATGGTTCAATGTACACAATTGGCTTCATGCACAAAATTATTTAAAAACATTGCGTACGAAATGGCCTGTGTCGTATATAAGGAAACCTAAATGAACGTTTGCTTTTGGAGCTGGATGCCATCTCCATGATATCTCATTACAGTACCTACACGGATGTATTATAAAATCCCAACTCGGAGAATTATTAAATCCTTTCGGATAAAGGATATTCTGGGTTGTTGTAGGTTTTCCGGGCTATATGGCCATGCTCTAGAGGCATTTTCTCCTGACTATGGCAAGCATCCAGAGGTAGTGAGGTCTGTTGGAAGTAGGAAAATGTTATATGTTATATATCTGTGGAAAGACCAGGGTGGGACAAAGGACTTTTGTCTGCTGGAGCCAGGTGTGAATGTTTCAACTGACCACCTTGATTAGCATTTAATGGCTTTGAAGTGCCTGGGGGAATCTTTCTTTGAGAGGTGATTTGATGTGCCTGATTGTTTACTCTCTGTTGTTTTGCTGTTGTAATTTTTGAGTTTTTTAATGCTCCAGTAGACAAAAGTCTTTTGTCACACCCTGGTCTTTCCACAGATATATAAACCCATTTTCCTACTTCCAACAGACCTCACTACCTCTGAGGATGCTTGCCATAGATGCAGGCGAAACGTCAGGAGAAAATGCCTCTAGAACATGGCCATATAGCCCGGAAAACCTACAACAACCCAGTGATTCCGGCCATGAAAGCCTTCGACAATACAAAGGATATTCTACCTATACAACCGTTTTGAAGACAAACATTTGTGTAGCACCACTTCTATAGGGTTTTTAAAAATATGGCCGCCGTTGGCAACTCCATACTTCGAAAAACTATGAGAGAAGTTCTTGTTTTCTTAGAGAATTGATCACTGAGGGAAGATTGGGACCTGAATTTTACCCGATAAGAAGATCAATTTTCCACCTCAACCACGTCTGCTGCTTCCCAATGTCTTTTAGGGCAAGCATGGGCCAACTTGGACCCTCCAGGTGGTTTGGACTTCAACTCCCACGATTCCTAACAGCCTCAGGCCTTGAGGTGGAAAAGGAAGGGGCCTGAGGCTGTTAGGAATTGTGGGAGTTGAAGTCCAAAACACTTGGTGAGCTGAAGTTGGCCCATAGCTTGCGTCAGAAGGAAAGTATCCAAGAGGTTAGATGTCCACCCCTTCTATTTGAGATGGCTTTCACTTCCTTTGGTTCCTTTTCACACGGTGCCGGCAGTGATGTAGGCGCACAGGGTTTCTCTGACCCTCTCGGACCGCGCCGCTGGTTTGATGCGTGTGTCCGGGCGCTGGAGGGGCTGCTCAAAGGTGGCGGCCAGCTGCTTAGCCTCGGCTTCCCAGGCCTCCTCGTAGGCCTCCCCTTTCTCCTCACAGATGTTGTGGAGGACACAACAGGCTGAGATGAGCCGGGGCAGGTTCTCCACCGCGCAGTCGTTGCGCCCCGTCAGGCAGCGCCACCGTCCCTTCAGCCGGCTGAAGGCCTCCTCCAAGGGCTCCTGGCATCGGCTCAAGGTGGCGTTGAAGGCCTCCTTGGCACTGTCCAGCTCCTCCGTGTAAGGCACCATCAGCCACGGGAGCAGAGGGTACGCCGGCCCACCTAAGATGACCCTGGGCACGGACACCCCGTTGATGTCAACTGCCCCTGGGGTGAAGAGGGTGCCTTCTTGGCCTTTGGTGAACAAGGTGGACTTGTTGAAGATCTTGGCTTCGTGCGTCTTCCCCGGCCAGCCGGCGCTTAGGTGGGTGAACTTTCCCCGGTGGTCCACCAAAGCTTGCAAAGCCATGGAGTAGTAGCCCTTGGAGTTGACATATTCGGCCGCCTGATGTGGCGGGCACAGGATGGGCATGTGAGTAGTGCCCACCACGCCGGCACAGTTGGGGAAGCCCATCTCCTGGAAGCCGCGCAATATCTCAGCCAGGTTGCCGCCTACCGTTACCGTGGCGCGCATCAGGACTCTCTGGATGGCGCGACACACTTCCAGCACCACTGAGCCGGCGGTGGAGCGGCCCACCCCAAACTGGTTGCCCACGTCACGGTAGCACACCGAGGTGGCCAGCTTCCAGAGGGCGATGGCCACCCGCTTCTCCACACTCAGCGGGACACGCATCCTCGTCTTCTGGCGCTGCAAGGCCGGGGAGAGCCGTGCGCAGAGCTCCAGGAAGGTGGCTTTGCGCATGCGGAAGTTCTGCAGCCAATGAGAGTCGTCCCATGTTTCCAAAACAGTGCGGTCCCACCATTCGGTGCTCCGGGGTCGAGCCCAGAAGCGCCGCTCCACTGAACGGAGGCGGCCACCTCGACGAACCCCGGCGGTGGAAGCCTGCCGGGAGAGCAAGACCACCTCTTCCACTTCTTCCTCTTCTTCCTCCTCCTCCTCCTCTTCCTCCTCCTCTTCGTCTTCCTCGCATCCTCGCTGGCCCAGCGAATGGAGGAATGCCCACCGGCGTCTAGAAGCGGCGGCCGACGATGCTTCGCCGCTGGCCCTGAGATACTCCATCATCAGCGCCCCCGACTGAACGACACACAAGATAGCAGCCTCCTTCTGGGTGGGATCCATGCTGGAAAGGAGGGAGAGAAAACAATATAAATTTCACGGAGTCATAGCATTGGAAGAGACCTCCCAGGGCCATCTAGTCCAACCCTCCTTGCGCTATACGGGAAGATGATAGCCAACCAGCCTCTGCTAAGAAACCTCCTGGAAATGAGACTCCACTACTTTTCTAATGCAGCATATTCAGAGAATCATAGAATCCAAGAGCTGAAAGACATCACAAGGGTCACCCAATCCTATTCTGTCCTCCATAATGCCCAATCAAAGCACTCCTGACAGATGCCCATACAGCCTCTGCTCAAAAACCTCCAGGAAATGAGATTCCACTACTTTTCTAATGCAATGTATTCAGATAATCATAGAACCCAAGTGTTGGAAGACATCACAAGGACCACCCAATCCTATTCTGTCCTCCATAATGCCCAATCAAAGCACTCCTGACAGATGCCCATACAGCCTCTGCTCAAAAACCTCCAGGAAATGAGATTCCACTACTTTTTAAATACAGTGTATTCAGAGAATCATAGAACCCAAGAGTTGGAAGACATCACAAGGGCCACCCAATCCTATTCTCTCCTCTATAACGCCCAATCAAAGCACTCCTGACAGATGCCCACCCAGCCTCTGCTACCAAACTTTCAGGAAATGAGACTCCACTACTTTTTTAATGCAGTGTATTCAGAGAATCATAGAACCCAAGAGTTGGAAGACATCACAAGGGCCACCCAATCCTATTCTCTCCTCTATAACGCCTAATCAAAGCACTCCTGACAGATGCCCACCCAGCCTCTGCTACCAAACTTTCAGGAAATGAGACTCCACTACTTTTTTAATGCAGTGTATTCAGAGAATCATAGAATCCAAGAAATGGAAGACATCACAAGGGCCACCCAATCCTATTCTGTTCTCCATAACGCGCAATCAAAGCACTCTTGATAGATGTTCATCCAGCCTTTGCTCAAAAACTTTGCTCAAGGATATTTTACTGTTGAACAGCTCTTACTTTCAGGAAGTTCTTTCTAATATTTATGTGGAATCTCTCTTCTTGCTATTTGAATCCATTCTAGTTTCTGGAGCAGTAGAAAATAAGCTTGCCCCTTTCTCCTCAATGGGACATTATTTGCAATATGTAAACATGGATTTCATGTTCCCTTTGAGGCTTCTTTGCAGCAATCTAAAACTTCCCAATTCCCTAAGTTGCTCCTCAGAGGAATTCTTGCTTTCCAGACCTTTGACCATGTTGGTTTCCATTCTCAGGACTCTTTCCAGATTGTCCATCTCCTTCTTGAACTGGACACAGTGTGCAATCTGATCAAAGCAGAATTAAGTGTGACTATGGCTTCCTGAACCCAAAGCCAGACACTATACTGCTATTGATGCAGCCTAGAATTGCACTGGCTTTTTAAGCTGCCGTATCATACTATTGATTCATATTTAGTATGGCAATGCTCCAACACATGTTTAAAAACAACTGCAGGGAATTGATAGGGCAGAATTTTTTTTTATGATTTAAAAATATATAATTTATGTCCTTTCTTTGTCTCATTGCCATGACTTGGAAGACAAGATTCCCACAATTCTCTGCTTCGAGAAAGACCCCCCAGAATGAGGTTGCTCTCCAGGAAGGTTGCAATAGAGAGCAGATAATCTTCTCAATGGGCTTCAACTATCAGCAGTACTATTTCTCCCTCTTGTGGCCAGAGGAAAAATTACAGGTGACTGCCAGGAAAAAAAAAACTTTCAAAATTATTTTTTTATATAGAATCATAGAATCATAGAATCAAAGAGTTGGAAGAGACCTCATGGGCCATCCAGTCCAACCCTCTGCCAAGAAGCAGGAATATTGCATTCAAATCACCCCTGACAGATGGCCATCCAGCCTCTGTTTAAAAGCTTCCAAAGAAGGAGCCTCCACCACACTCTGGGGCAGAGAGTTCCACTGCTGAATGGCTCTCACAGTCAGGAAGTTCTTCCTCATGTTCAGATGGAATCTCCTTTCTTGTAGTTTGAAGCCATTGTTCGCGTCCTAGTCTCCAGGGAAGCAGAAAACAAGCTTGCTCCCTCCTCCCTGTGGCTTCCTCTCACATATTTATACATGGCTATCATATCTCCTCTCAGCCTTCTCTTCTTCAGGCTAAACATGCCCAGCTCCTTAAGCCGCTCCTCATAGGGTTGTTCTCCAGACCCTTGATCATTTTAGTCGCCCTCCTCTGGACACATTCCAGCTTGTCAATATCTCTCTTGAATTGTGGTGCCCAGAATTGGACACAATATTCCAGGTGTGGTCTAACCAAAGCAGAATAGAGGGGTAGCATGACTTCCCTAGATCTAGACACTATGCTCCTATTGATGCAGGCCAAAATCCCATTGGGTTTTTTTGCCGCCACATCACATTGTTGGCTCATGTTTAACTTGTTGTCCACGAGGACTCCAAGATCTTTTTCACACGTACTGCTCTTGAGCCAGGCATTGTCCCCCATTCTGTATCTTTGCATTTCGTTTTTCCTGCCTAAGTGAGTATCTTGCATTTGTCACTGTAGAACTTCATTTTGTTAGTTTTGGCCCATCTCTCTAATCTGTCAAGATCGTTTTGAACGCTGCTCCTGTCCTCTGGAGTATTGGCTATCCCTCCCAATTTGGTGTCGTCTGCAAACTTGATGATCATGCCTTCTAACCCTTCATCTATCATTAATAAAGATGTTGAACAGGACCGGGCCCAGGACGGAACCCTGCTTGTGGCACTCCATTCGTCACTTCTTTCCAAGATGAAGAGGAAGCATTAGTGAGCAGCCTCTGGGTTCGTCCATTTAACCAATTCCAGATCCACCTCACCGTAGTTTTGCCTAGCCCACATTGGACTAGTTTCCTTGCCAGAAGGTCATGGGGGACCTTGTCGAAGGCCTTACTGAAATCCAGGTACGCTACATCCACGGCATTCCCCGCATCTACCCAGCTTGTAACTGTACAATGCTTTACAATGCCAGAAATACAGCTTAATGGTGTAACATTAGAAAATGTGGACCATTTCCGCTACCTTAGCAGCCACCTCTCTACAAAAGTCAACATTGACTCTGAAATACAACACCGCCTGAGCTCTGCGAGTGCAGCATTTTTCCGAATGAAGCAGAGAGTGTTTGAGGACTGGGACATCTATAGGGAGACCAAGATGCTTGTTTATAAAGCTATTGTCCTCCCAACCCTGCTATATGCCTGTGAAACGTGGACTGTCTACAGACGTCATACGCAACTTCTAGAACGATTCCATCAGTGCTGCCTCCAACAAATCCTGCAAATTTCTTGGAAAGACAGGCGGACAAATGTCAGTGTGCTGGAAGAAGCAAAGACCACCAGCACTGAAGCGATGGTCCTCCACCATCAACTCCGCTGGACTGGTCACGTTGTCCGAATGCCTGATCACTGTCTCCCAAGGAAGTTGCACTACTCTGAACTCAAGAAAGGAAAATAGAATGTTGGAGGACAGGAAAAGAGATTTAAAGATGGGCTCAAAGCCAACCTTAAAAACTCTGGCATAGACACTGAGAACTGGGAAGCCCTGGCCCTTGAGTGCTCCAGCTAGAGGTCAGCTGTGACCAGCAGTGCTGCAGAATTCAAAGAGGCTTGAATGGAGGGTGAAAGAGAGAAACATGCCAAGAGGAAGGTGCATCTAGCCAACCCCAACCAGGACCGCCTTCCACCTGGAAACCAATGCTCTCACTGCGGGGGAAGATGCCTGTCAAGAATAGGGCTCCATAGCCAGCTATGTACCCACCCCCAGTACGCCGAACTTGGAAGACAATCTTATTCAGACAACGAGGGATCGCCTAAGTAAGTAAGTAAAAAAAGATTTTTAAAAAGGGTATAAAAAGATGGGGGGGGGGGGGAAATCTATAGGAATTGATATTTAGGGGATTAAAACATGTCCATTAAATATTCCACCCCATTTCTGCCAACTAAAACTAACAAATAAAATGTCCCTTTTTAAAACACACGAAAAGCAAAAATAAGAGAAAACATTAAGCACACATCTGACTTTTTCTCTCCACAAGCAAAATAGTAATTAAACTTTGATTAGTTGCATCTCACCTTCCTTTGAGTACAAACCAATATATTATAATATTCATGTAAACAACTATGTTGACAAAAGTTCAGATGTTGGCAAATCTATCACCTCGACCTTCTCCCCCAATTTCCCTCCTTTTAATGTGAATTCATCTTATCTTATATGGCTTATTAATGTATTTTCAACTATTTGATTCTATATAATATTACTTTAATAAAATGTTTAGGTGAAGTCAAAAAGAATGACATACATGTGTTGTAGAAGGCTTTCGTGGACAGAATCACTGTAATAATAATAATAATAATAATAATAATAATAATAATAATAATAACAATAATAAGTTGCTGTGAGTATTCCAGGCTCTCTGGCCATGTTCCAGAAGCATTCCCTCCTGATGTTTCGCCCACATCTATGGCAGGCATCCTCAGAGGTTGTGAGGTCTGCTGGAAACTAGGAAAATGGGTTTATATATCTGTGGAATGATGTCCAGGGTGGGAGAAAGATCTCTTGCCTGTTTGAGGCAAGTGTGAATGTTGCAATTGTCCAGCTTGATTAGCATTCACTAGCCTTGCAACTTCAAAGCCTGGCTGCTTCCTGCCTGGGGGGGGGGGAATCCTTTGTTTCCAACAAAGCCAACAAATGGGTTGTTGTAGGTTTTTTTCGGGCTATATGGCCATGTTCTAGAGGCATTCTCTCTTGACATTTTGCCTGCATCTATGGCAAGCATCCTCAGAAGTTGTGAGGTCAGACCACACAACCTCTGAGGATGCTTGCCATAGATGAACCAACCTGGACACAGCATATATTTGAGAACACAGAAATGCTGGACCACTCTCACAACCACCCTGTCAGGCTACACAGAGAAGCCATTGAAATCCACAAGCAGTGGACAATTTCAACAGAAAGGAGGAAACCATGAAAATGAACAAAATCTGGTTACCAGCATTAAAAAACTCTAGAATCAGGACAGTGAATGAAGAGCAACACTCCAAAAATCCAGACAGGACACCATCAAGGCCAGCTAACATCTCCCAACAAAGGATTCCTCCAGGCAGCAACCAGTCAGGTTTTGAAGCGGCAAGGCTGTTCGATGCTAATCAAGGTAGCCAATTGTAACATTCACACGTGCCTCAAGCAGACAAGAGTTCTTTCTCCCACCCTGGACATTATTCCTGAGAATTTCTGCAAGGGTGACAAGATTACTGCAGATGCAGACTGTAGCCAGGAAATCAGAAGACGTTTACTTCTTGTGAGGAGAGCAATGACCAATCTCGATAAAATAGTGAAGAGTAGAGACATCACACTGGCAACGAAGATCCACATAGTTAAAGCAATGGTATTCCCTGTAGTCACCTACGGATGTGAGAGCTGGACCATAGGGAAGGCTGAGCGAAGGAAGAGAGATGCTTTTGAACTGTGGTGCTGGAGGAAAGTCCTGAGAGTGCCTTGGACTGCGAGAAGATCCAACCAGTCCATCCTCCAGGAAATAAAGCCTGACTGCTCATTGGAGGGAAGGATAGTAGAGGCAAAGATGAAGTACTTTGGCCACATCATGACAAGACAAGAAAGCTTAGAGAAGACAATGATGTTGGGGAAAATGGAAGGAAAAAGGAAGAGGGGCCGACCAAGGGCAAGATGGATGGATGGCATCCTTGAAGTAACTGGATTGACCTTGAAGGAGCTGGGGGTGGTGATGGTTGACAGGGAGCTCTGGCGTGGGCTGGTTCATGAGGTCACGAAGAGTCGGAATGACTGAATGAACAACAACAACACCTCCCAACAGCTAACACCTTCCCCCAGGCAGAAAAGCAGCCAGGCTTTGAAGCTGCAAGGCTAACCAAGCTAGCCAATGGCAACATTCACACTTGCCTCCAGCAGAAAAAAAGTTCTTTCTCCCACCCTGGAAATTATTCCAAATATATAAACCTCACTTCCCTAGTTTCCAACAGGCCTCACAACCTCTGAGGATGCCTGCCATAGATGTGGGCGAAACGTCAGGAGAGAATGCTTCTGGAATATGGCCCAGAAAACTCACAGCAACCCAGTGATTCTGACCATGAAAGACTGTGACAACACAACAATGATACATTTGTCAATTGCAAATAAACACATTTCTTGGAAGGTGCCAAATTATCCCACCAATATCCTTAGATATTTATTTACTGTATATTAAATATTTCTATATCATCACAATAGTTCCCCATGCACAATAAATCAAAGCAGTTTAAAAACAGTATAAACATATTAAAATATTATTTACAAAGTCTAAACACTCCCTTTAGATATGATTTTTAGGAGCAAATCAATACTAAAATGGACGTCAGATTAGAATTATGACTTATTAGGACATCATTTAGAGTGTTTCTAGTGCAAAACCTTCTGAGTTTAAAGCAATATGAATAATAATAATCATTTTAATTTGCAGTTTTGGGAGGTTTTGCCAGCTATAAACCTGCACCTTTCCCTATATATATATAATGTGACTTGAATTATAAACCATACATAGAGAAATATAATATCTATGAAACAAAAATAATATAATACTCACAGCTAGTCTTTGTTGAGCAATATACTCTGCAAGGAGCTATAGTCAACCCTATATATATATAGGGAAACTTCTGAATTTAAAGTAATATGAATAATAATCATTTTAATTTGCAGTTTTGGGAGGTTTTGCCAGCTATAAACCTGCACCTTTCCCTATATATATACATATTGTGACTTGAATTATAAACCATACATAGAGAAATATAATATCTATGAAACAAAAATAATATAATACTCACAGCTAGTCTTTGTTGAGCAATATACTCTGCAAGGAGCTATAGTCAACCATATATATATATATATATATATATATATATATATATATAGGGAAAGGTGCAGATATATTCTCATGATCTTATTCCTTATTTTTGCAACATATTATTCATTTAGTCGAATAGAAACACACCTTTTATGTCAGCCAGTGGGGAGATCAGCTTCCAGAGAGGGCTAGGGCATTGAGAAAATAGCAAAATACAAGGGAAAAAAATAAGAAAAATAGAATTATTTGCTATTTGAGAAATGGTCAGTTGCTGGATGCTCGCAGCATGATCAATTTCTTTATCCTTTTTGCAAAAAATCAAGAAAGAAATTGTTTAAAAGGCTGGAATAAATGGATTTCTGGGTCCAATCACCTGCGCATGCGCACTCCCTCCCCCAGTCAACTCAATCGGGTAAAGCGAGAGACGGTCTCCTTTTGTTCTCAGAATGAGCCCCGCGGGAAAATAGAACCGGAAATGCAAATGAAGAGCCAAGCGCGGCGCGCTATTGGCCAGAGGAAGCTCCACCTCTGGCTCAGAGGAATTGACAACGAAGGCAGGTTAACCCCTTCTTGTGCGGGGGTTCCGTGGTGTAATGGTTAGCACTTTGGACTCTGAATCCAACGATCCGAGTTCAAATCTCGGCGGAACCTATATTTTCTGTGCAAGTAAATATTTAATTAATTAATTAATTTATTTATTTACTTCGCTTATATACCGCAATTCTCAGCCCAAGGGCGACTCATTGCGGTGTACAACATAGAAAAACAGGTGCAAAATACAAAACATAGTGTAAAATAATCCACAGTTCATCATTATCAGAAAACATCTCATCAAAACATCAACATTACTACAAAAGCCAATTCCGAGTCGTCTCATCGTCAAACCCACAATCCGATATCATTTCCGTTGTTCCATTCCTATGGTCAAATTACCAGTCATTGCACTTCTTATTCAAATGCCTTCTTAAACAGCCAGGTCTTTAACTTCCTGCGGAATATCAACAGGGAGGGGGCTAGCCTGATGTCCACGGGAAGGGTGTTCCACAGCCGAGGAGCCACCACCGAGAAGGCCCTATCTCTCGTCCCTGCCAGCCGTGCCTGTGACGCAGGCGGGATCGAGAGCAGGGCCTCCCCGGAAGATCTCAAAGTCCTCGTGGGCTCATAGGTCGAGAGGCGGTCAGTTAGGTATCTTGGGCCGGAACCGTTTAGGGCTTTATAGGCCAATGCCAGCACCTTGAATTGAGCCCGGTAGCAGATCGGCAGCCAGTGGAGCTGGTACAGCAGGGGGATTGTATGCTCCCTGCGTCCCGCTCCTGTTAGTATCATGGCTGCCGCACGTTGGACCAGTTGGAGCTTCCGGGCCGTCTTCAAAGGCAACCCCACGTAGAGAGCGTTGCAGTAGTCTAAACGGGATGTAACCAGAGCATGGACTACTGTGGCCAAGTCAGACTTCCCAAGGTACGGGCGCAGCTGGCGCACGAGCCTAAGCTGTGCAAATGCTCCCCTGGTCACCGCCAAGACCTGGGGCTCCAGGCTCAGCGATGAATCCAGGATCACACCCAAGCTGCGAACCTGCGCCTTCAAGGGGAGTGTGACCCCGTCCAGCACAGGCTGTAACCCGTACCCTGTTCGGCCTTACGACTGACCAGGAGTACCTCTGTCTTGTCTGGATTTAGTTTCAATCTGTTGTCCCTCATCCAGACCGTCACAGCGGCCAAGCACCGGTTCAGGACCTCGACAGCCTCCTTAGTAGCAGGTGGAAAGGAGTGACAGAGTTGGACATCATCTGCGTGACAGAGTTGGACATCATTTAATGCTTTTAAGAAGAGAAAGCAGAAATAATAATAATAATAATAAAACAATAAACAACTTATTTATTTGCAAATTAATTAAAAATATATAAATTTATAATAAAAAATTTGAAGCATTATTTTTATATCAGAAACCTAGGTTAATATATTGGTATGATTGATTTAAAGTGGGCAGGCCTGGGCAAACTTTGGCCCTCCAGGTGTTTTGGACTTCAACTCCCATAATTCCTAATAGCCGGTCTGAGAGATTGCATGGGAAAGTCGGGGAGAAAATTCATGGGAGACGTAATGCTTTCATGGGTGTCTATTAAACAACTAGTTGCTTTGCTTAAAGGCAATTCAGGAAACGTTGCATTAGAGTGAGAAGCTAAGCCTGAATTCTCTTGTTCTTGGTTCAAGTCAAGCCTTGGTATTTGTTTATTTATCGTGTCAGGAGCAAACCAAAACAGTTGTATTGCATTAAAAACAAACAAACAAACAAACAAAGCACAAAGTTTGTAGATTTGGTATTCTATTCAATGTCCTTTGACCAGTAGCTGGCCACTTGGAGTGCCTCTGGTGTTGCTGCAAGAAGGTCCTCCATTGGGTTGTTGTAGGTTTTTCGGGCTATATGGCCATGTTCTAGAGGCATTCTCTTCTGACGTTTCGCCTGCATCTATGGCAAGCATCCTCAGAGCTAGTGAGGTCTGTTGGAACTAGGAAGAAGGGTTTATATATCTGTGGAATGACCAGGGTGGGACAAAGGACTCTTGTCTGCTGGAGCTAGGTGTGAATGTTTCAACTGACCACCTTGATTTGATGGCCTGGCAGTGCCTGGGGCAATGTTTTGTTGAGAGGTGATTAGGTCCTCCATTGTGCATGTGGCAAGATTCAGATTGCATTGCAGTAGGTGGTCTGTAGTTTGCTCTCCTCCACACTCGCACGTCATGGATTCCACTCTGTAGCCCCATTTCTTAAGGTTGACTCTGCATCTCGTGGTGCCAGAGCGCAGTCTGTTCAGCACCTTCCAAGTCACACAGTTTTCTGTGTGCCCAGGGGGAAGTCTCTCATTTGGTATCAGCCATTGATTGAAGTTCTGGATTTTAGCCTGCCACTTTTGGACTCTTGCTTGCTGAGGTGTTCAAGTGTCTCTGCAGATTTTAGAAAACTATTTTTTTGAAAGCCTTGGTTATGGGTTTCTTGGAATTTCTACTGGCAGTTAGGAATTGTGGGAATTGAAGTCCAAAACACCCGGAGGGCCAAAGTTTGCCCAAGCCTGCTTTAAAGGAAAGTGCAGGGCCTCAAGGCCAGTCCAAGAAGCCAGAAGCAGCAACAGCAGATAAGGAATCGAGTGAAGAGCTGAGTGATAAGATGGGTTCCCAGGAGAAACCACCTGTAGTGACAGAAATCAACAAAAGTCTTCCTTTACAAATCAGAGCCAGAAATAAATTAAGCCGGTCTGAGATATTGCATGGGAAAGCTGTGGAGAAAATTAATGGCTGACATAATGCTTTAATGGATGTCTATTAAACAACAAGTTGTTTTGCTTAAAGGCAGTTCAGGCAACACTGTGTTAGATTGAGAAGCTAAGCCTGAGTTCTCTTGTTCTTGGTTCGAGTCAGGCCTTGGTTGTGGATTTCATGGAATTGAAATCATGGAGGAATTTAAAAGGGTCTGGCCCTGAAGGAGAGACCCTGCGGACCCAACAAAGAGGGCTCGCTACAATGGTGAGCAATGAGAAGCCCAATTTAAAAGGTTTTTCCTAAGTTCCCAAAAGAAATCTAATCAAAGTTGATTTTATTGCGATTCAGCTGAAAAGGATGCAAAGCAGCAATATTTTGCCAAGCTAAGCATACAGTGTACAAAAATAAAGGCCCTTTTATACATAAAACAGAGCTGCCAGGTTTGAATCTCCCATTCCCCGCCCCTCTGCCGGCTCAACGATGATTGGCTGGCGCTCTTCAGCTGGGAGGAGGCTTGGCCTCCTCCTGAGTGCCTGGGCCAATCGTTGGGCTTCTGCCGCCTTGGCGTCCTGATGAATCAGGAGAGAGGGAGGCGGGACGAGAGGGAAACAATGGATTCTTGAGAGGATTATGGAAGTAGGAAATGTCCAAGCGGTCAGCGAGTCCCAAGGGGAATAAATAAATAAATTTGCTATTGTCTTTGAGTGGCTGCAATAAACGTTGATGGCTGGCAAACCTGCCATAATCCAAATTTTTCCAGTGCTGAGAGACAGGAACAATGAGGGAATTTTGGCTGTGGTTTCAGTGGATAAAAATTGAATCAGTAACAGATTAGGACAGGTGTGGCTTTCCGAAGGCTTCCTTTGTCCTATTGAGATATGATCATAAATTCCAAGTGACCGCTTCCTCTGGGGGGCAACTCCGAGGCAGAGGTCACGATCCTTTGTTATTGTCCATGCAAATAGTGTCTTTTGATAAGGGTCTTTTCCAACTGAGGATTTCCTCCTTTCCAGGGTCACAGGGGTGGCTTCTTATATTTTTATACATTTTTTCAATAAAGGGGAATTGGGCAAAAGGGTCAGGAAAAGGTCAGGCACACAGGGAGAAATATAGAAATATAGAAATCATGTTATAGAAAACATATCCACTTATCTCTCCCCCCAGAGTCCCATAGATGTTCAAGAGAGCACATAAGTGTAAAGGGGGGGGGGTGGTTTCTCAGTAATAAATGTGCTAACTTCTGCTATATATGAAACCTAGGGCATAAAATCTTGATTAAATGTACACACTATCTAACATGGGAAGGGTCCTTGTTGTTGTTAATGTCTTGGCAAATTGACCAAGGCTTGACCCTTATTATCCAGTCTGATGTCCTTGTCCTTAGCAAAACTATAAGTTACTATCTTTGATTGGGGGGGGGGTCATGTTCGAGTTCAGAATTCCTACCGGCTGTTAGGAATTGTGGGAGTTGAAGTCCAAAACACCTGGAGGGCCAACGTTTGCCCAGGCCTGCTTTAAAGGGGTCCTGGTGAGGCACAAGAACATCTTGCAAAACTGCATTTTCCAGGATTCAATATCACTGAGTCAGGGAAGGTGTCAGATTTTTCCCTTTCCATTGATTGGCCAACTTGTTTACTGTTGTCTGGGAAGCAGACAAAATGGATACATCAGCTGTCAATCAAAATCTGGAATGCCAAACAGTGGCATTGTTTTTCTCTCCTTATCTGATGAGTCTCTTGTCACTCATTTCCCTTCTTCCTACAAGAAAGAAAAACAAGGGACGTGAACACAAGCTTTCTGGTTCTTTGCTCATTAGCATATGATACTTCATTATTTTTTTATATTCTACATTTTGTCTAAAGGGCAACGTAACCTTTTAGAATAGTGTTGCTCAATCTGCGGGTCAGGACCCCATGGGGGGTCGCGAGGGGGTTTCAGAGGGATTGTCAAAGACCATCAGAAAAGGCTGAAGATTTCTCCATCTGTCCTTCTCTTCCTTTTTGGTGTTGGTGAACTACAGCTCCTAGAATTCAAAAATAGCACCCCCCCCCCCCACAACCCCACCAGTATTCAATGTTGACTATGTAGGTAGCGTGCCAAGTTTAGTGCAGATCTATTGTGGGCTGGGTTCAGATTGCTCTTTGACTGTAGGTGAACTATACATCCCAGCAACTACAACTCCCAAATGTCAAGGTCTATTTCCCCCAAAATGCATCAGTGTTCACATTTAGG